GCCGGATCATCCGGGAGATGGAAGGGTCACAAACCCTGGGCCTCCGCCATCTCGCGCTGAACCCAGTAGTACCCAGGAACACCTGGAACGAGGTCCGTTGGCGGCTCCACCTCCTTCTTTTTCCCGACGGTGGCCGTTCCAGTAGCCGTCGCCTTGCCCCGCGCCTTGCCTTTACCCTTGGCAGGCGCGGAGGAACCAGCACCACTCCCTCTAGCCATGGAGAAAACAAGAAAGACTCGAAGAAGATTGCGAAAGAAGGAAAAAACAAAACTGGAGAAAAAGATGGTCATGGTTCCCAATATGCCAAATCAGAAACACATGTCTCTCTGTCTCTCCATCAGAAGAGTAACATCATGTCCCATCAAGGAATCCAATGATTTGGCTGAGGAAGATCATTGCACCAAAAGACTATTCTACTGCAACCTTTTGATCAATGTCAATGGATACAGGTACATATTATTAACATTAACTATGTAATCTGAGACAACGGTTCTTAATATTGATTAATGGAAAATTTCTATTTGGCTTAAGAAATTTATCCCAACAGGCATTAGTCCTTGTAAGCTCTACCTAGTTTTGTTTTTGCTTATATATTAAATTATGGTCTCTAAATTTTTTTGAAAGGTCAAACTCCCTGTTCATCAAGGATCATATCTATAAAGACTTTCTATTAAATACATTGTCTTTACTTGGATGATATTTAAGCTTTAAATTTTAATTTAAAAAAAAATTAACCATCTTTGTTTTGTATTTAATTCCTTTAAATTATCATCAGATGTATAATTTCACATTTGTACAACATCTAGATTTCTCTCATTTCGGTGTGTTCAGGTTTATTAGCTTTCACTTAGTTCATCTCCAAACAACATTATGCTAGGAGAGAAGACCTGCCTTGATATCATTTGTAACACCCCTTAGATTTGAGGTCTCGATGGCTATCACTCCATGACATTTTACATGATGATACTTCACACAACTTCTCTTTGGTTAGAATCCTTTACTGGTCAAAACCCTCTGTTGATAACCATTTTTGAGATATTCAACTGACCGCACAAACCATAAATTTTTTTAGTATGTTTTGTTCTGATTCGCAAACTTTTTGAAAAACTTTCCAAAAAATCATTTTCCTCTTAAATTGCTTCAAGTCAAACACACTTTTATATATATATATATATATAT